CCCTTCCCCGGGGTTGAATTTTTTAAAAAGTGGGGGGAAGCCAGTGGTTCTCTTTCTTCAGAGAATAAAATTTGGGGTACAGGCAGACGGTGGGCCGACAATCATCACCTAGTGTATGGTTCTGAACCCGGGAAAGGGAATTAAGGTTGGAAGTGGGTGCGTTTTCTGCCACGGGGCGGAGCGAAGGCCTAAACCCCCCCTCCCCGTCCAGTCTCGGGTCACAGCGGGGTCCCTGACGCCCTGCCTGCGGGGCCCGGCCGGTGGCACCCCTCGCCTCCGTGTACAATCAACACCGGGAAGTATAGCGCGTCTTGGTAGCAGGGGGGGCTCTCCAGCGGCTCGGTCTCGACGTGGCTGCTGACGTGGCTACCACTCAGACTGCGCAGGAGGCCCCCGTACCGGCGGCCCCCTCCCAGCGAGAAGCGGCTGCAGCTGAAGGGGAGGCGGCTGTAAAGGGCCCGGGCGCCCCGCGAGGGGAGGGAGTTGCTGCTGACGGAGCGCCGACACCGCTGGCAGCTGCGGAGGTAGGCCGCGCCGGCCACCACGGTGGAGTCCATCAGCACCGCCTCGGAGTAGCTCGGCACCAGCTGCCGGTTGGATCGGATATGCCACTCCAGCTCCGTCATGTCCACCGTGTTGACGCGGGAGATGCGGCGCCCGTAGGCCCCCGAGGCGTCCAGCGGGCTGGGCCCGTCGTCCGCCCCGAAGAGTTTCTCCACGTGGTAGTGGACGTTGGCCGTGCGGTACTCGGACAGCACCCGCAGCGGCCACGAGAGGAGGAGGAACGAGGCCAGCCAGAAGACCCAGCGGCGTGTGTACCAGGGTGGGCGCCCGGGGTCCGGGAAGACCAGCATGTGCTCCTTGAAGTCCACATTCTTCAGGTGCATCCCCTCGCGGGCCTCCATGTAATCGTCCAGCCCCTCGTTCTCGCCGAAAAACCGGGCCCGCTGGGTGAGGTAGGCCGCCTCGGCCTCCCCTGTGGCGAAGCTGAAGCACTTGGTGAAGCGCAGCTTGGTGACGGGGTAGTCGGAGAGGCCGAGGAGCTCCTTGGAGACGTCCTTCACCCCGTGGCCCGCGTAGTCGAACTCCGTCTCGGCCACGTGGGTGTTCACACGCTCGTGGTAGACCTGCGTGGTGGTGTAGGCGTCGCCGTTGCGGTAGCGGGTGACCTGCCGGGTGCGCCGGATGTAGTGGTAGCTGATGGCTTTCCACCAGATGCAGGGGGTGGCCTGCTGCATGCGCTGGACTTTCTCGTAGACGCTGGCCGTGTCCACCCGGTACTGGCGCTGCCCCTTGGCGAAGCGGTGCCAGCACTCCACGAGGTACACCACGTAAAGCATCCCCAGGAATGCCAAGGGGATGTAAATGTAGCCGTTCGAGCACGGGCTGTCATGGTAGACCATCGAGACGTCCTGGTAGGATCCCTCGTAGTTCAGCCGGGTCACCGTCGAAAGGCGACACCAAGCCATCACCCCGAAACAGCCGAACATCAGCAGGGTGAGGACCAAACATTTCCAGTGGGACTCTCGGCAGAGGGAACTGCTCAGAGACTGTTTGAGGGGACGCTGCTGCTCGGAGAAAGGGGAGGGGGAAAAAAGAGAGATATCAACAAGTTATAGAGCTGGTCTTGTGCAGGTCTTCTCCCCGACGGTCCCGCCAACTTTAAACACACATCGTCGCATAGCTCAGGTTTCTAGTCCTCTTGGACTTGGGGGAAAAAGCTGGCCGACGGGATTCTAAGCAGCAAGAGGTCAGTGTTCTGGTTTTATCAAAATGATTTTTTAGAATTGCAGAGCAGGAAACGACCCTATGGATCATGGGAGTCCAGTCTCTGCCAAGGAGGACCCAGTGGGGGGAATCGAACTCCCAACCTGAGCTATCCAGCAGTCAAGAGAGGCTGAAAGGAACTGCAGGATAAGACCAAGAGGGGAGTGGCCAGCTAGTTTGTGGTGCCAGCAGTAGTCAGCTACTGCAATTCTGGTAGACTGCCTTTGTAAAGGGTGGCTCCATTGAGCCATCATCTCCACAACCCTCACTCAAGATCTAACTGTGCAAAAAAAACAAAAAAAAAACTGTGGGGTTCTCGTATATACAAAACTCTGGTAGTTACTATTTTAAAGTACGTAACTGGCTGTGTCATTTCTTACAAAGCACTCCTTCCCAAGAACATTTTAATGCTGCAGTTTTTTTTAAGCACTTGTTCCATGTGCTGTTACTCAACTTCTTTTTTAAAAAACGTATCCAAAATTTAAGAAGATGACCAGATGTTTAAAGGAAATGCCCTCAAAAAGAAAGCATTCTTGGCTCCCTTTTCAAGTTGTTTTTCAGTTACAGTGGTGCCTCGCTAGACGATGATAATCCGTTCCACTGAAATCGCTGTTTAGCGAAATCATCGTCTATCGAAAAGCATTTCCCCATTGGAATGCATTGAAACCTGTTTAAAGCGTTCTAATGGGGAAGAATCATCGTTGTCTAGCGAAGATCGGCCATAGGAAAGCTGCTTTGCGAACCGCCGATCAGCTGTTTAAATCGCTGTCTTGCGAAGCTCAGGTCCCAAAAACACCCGTTTTGCGAGTGCAGAGGGAGCTGTCAAAATCGTTGTCTAGCGAAAATCGGTTTGCGAAACAGGGATGAAACATTGTCCAGCGAAATTCCCCCATAGGAATCACTGTTTTGCGAATCACTATAGCGATCACAAAAAGTCAATGTCTAGCAAAAAAAACTGCCTAGCGAGGCACCACTGTAGTTGAACGTGGTAAAGTTATAACTTATTTCACATTATGTTGTGATTTATCAAGCGTTCCATTCAGGGCTATATATACCTATACTCTCTGGGGAAAACAGGTGTGTTTGGCTGAGAAATGTTTTGGGTTTCTTTTTTTAACTCCTGTACTTCCTCCACAGGATGATGGGACCTATAACTCCGGGAGGGAGTGGAAAGGCACATTTCTGAGCTTTCTAGCTGGCCACCTTTCTGACTCTCCTGTGTTAGGTGCCGGAGCCAGCTCCTGGTGGATTGGGCTCCCCGCAACAGGAAAGAGCAGCCGCCGGCCCCGCTTCGGGCTGGTCCTTCTCCCCTTTGAAAGGCCTCCGGGAAAGGCGCCAGGAACAAAGAGGTTTTAAGTTGATCCCACAGGGGTTCGAGCAGAAGCGGTGGGGCCTGTGTGTGTCCATTTGCGGTAATGCAGCCGTGGCCCGGGGGGGGGAGGACCACGGAGATTACAGAACAGAAGGTGGAGGAGGCGGGAATCCTCCATGCATTTGTGATGGCAACAGGATGCTCCAGAGAGGACGCACCCCACTTCTGAACAAAGGAACCAAAAAGGGAGAGGAGGAAGCAATGGGAAATCGGTGGTCACCGGACACCCCATTTTTCTAAGTCGCTAGCTGCCCCCCTCTTGGGGGGGGAATGCGTGAGAGCCTTGCTTTCCCCAGCCCTTCTGCTCTAATCACTAGGCATCTCTCTCCCCTTGGAATAAGAAGCTCGACCGAACAGGTGAAGCAAGGTTAAAGGTCCAGGATAAAAGAGGCACCGCTTTGTCCAAGCGAAAAGAACCCACATTCGAAGCTGTTCTATTAAACGGGACATAAATATCCCCCCAAACACTAAATCTCGCCGGTTCTTCTTCCTAGGTATACCAAGAACCAGACTGAAAGCGGAGCATTCTGGGAGTTGTAGTCCGAAAATCAACCTGTGTAGATGGGAATGCCTCTTCCCCACCGGGTTCAAGCCCCTCTTCTCTCCTCGAACAATCCTAAATCATGGACTGGAAAGGACCCAGGAGTCCGGGGGGATCTTTACTCCCCCACCAAAATAAGACTCCGTTCTGAAAACGGCCAATATGGAAAGAAAAATCTGTCCATGTCACCTAGAGCATGATGGGAGTTGTAGTTCAATATGTCAGGAGGTTGCTGAACCAGAGAAGAGGGCCATCAACCGATCCATTTCACACCCTTTCCAAGGTTTCTTTGGGATCTGAAACCTTCTATCCATCTAGACCGGCCACATCACTCCTTATACCAGAATCCTTTACCGCCAGATAGGACAACTGTGGCACCTGGGATTGGAAGTCCACAACAATGGGACGGTCAAAGGTTGAAAACCCCTGGACTTACACTTCCCAAGAATGAACGCAGCTATTTTGAGAAAGAACCGATTTTCTCTGCTGAGAGCCTGCGGCTTGAGCTCTCTCTGACGCAGGATATTAAGACTGCCAGCATACCACAAATCCCATGATTCTGTACAACGGGCCCTGTTGATTAAGACTATTCAAAGGGCTGGTTCTAACCTATAAAGCCCTAAACGGCTTGACTGCGTCTCCCTTTACGAGCCTACTCGAGTGTTGATCATCAGGGAGGCCTTTCCCTCAGCCGTTTTCACAGGTGCCCTGGGTAGGGACACAGAAGAGGGCCTTCTCGGCGGCTGCTCCCAGCCTTTGGAACTCCCTCCCACTGGAGGCCAAGCTGGCCCCGTCTCTGCTGTCCTTCTGCAAGCAGGACCTTTCTCTTCAGGTAAAGCTTTCCCTGAACTGTCTGGCTGCCTGAATATGGGGGTTTTAAATGATTATTGTGCTTATTTTTTAAGGAGAAAGGCAAGGGATGGATAGATAGATAGATAGATAGATAGATAGATAGATAGATAGATAGATAGATAGATAGATAGATAGATAGATAGATAGATAGATAGATAGATAGATAGATAGATAGATAGATAGATAGATAGATGATCCACCGGAGATAAAGAAAGCTGGGAGGGGTCCCAAAGGGTTTGTGAATCTCTGCACCCAAGGAAGCTTCGTAGGTAGGAAGAAAGTATCACTCAGGGAATTGGAGAAAATAGCCAGGCACTTCCATTTTGTGTGCTGAATGGTGGTGCTAGGCAGAGCTTTCCTCTGGAGGTGGTGCAAGGCCATGCATGGTCTATGATGACCATTTCACAGGACAAGGGTAACAGCAGGCATACACCAGGACTTGCAGGTTGGGATTCAATTTCTGGATAGTTCAATGGAGTTTCTTTCTGGAGGGCAGGCATATGCCTAGGGGTAGACTTCCAGGTGCAGAATGATGCGGCAGGTTCACTGGGTATGGAATTTATTTTAAAGGGTGGTAAAAAAACACAAGTTTGCTGCTTATATACCACCCCATAGTGCTTCAAGCACTCGATCAGTGCCATGAACACGTGGCCAGAGTCAAGCCTAGAAAACAGCCAACGCCTGTAGACATGCAGGTGGTGGTGATGAAGGAAATCGAACTCAGCACCCAGAAGAGTGGGGGTCCAAAGTGGATTATTCAGCCAAAGCAAGTGTACTGAGGTTCCTTGAAAGAGGTTTGGTGGGGGGTGAGGGGATGGTTCCTGGATTTAGGAGAGGTGGGAAAGACTATACCTTTCTTAAGCCCTGCTCACAACCATTTTCCCCAGTGGCTGAGGTCTCTGGCTGCGGTGTCAGAGGTTGCGAATTCGAATCCCCCCCTCCCGGGCTGTGTCTCCTTTACAGATGCTGCGTTGGATGATCTGAAGGATCCCTTCCAACTCTGCAGTTCTAAAGGGTTTGATGATCCGAAGGATCCTTTCCAACTCTGCAGTTCTAAAATTAGTATTATAAATGTGAGATCTTGACTGGGAACAAAAAAAGCTTTTCATCCCTCCTAGCTACACCCTTTTCTCTGACACAGATAATGGAGGCGTTGTCTGTGATCCAGATCTTCCATCCTCCCAGAGGCACTCTAATATTTCCTGGATCTTTTCTTTTCTTTTTTCTCCTGCAGAGGAAAGAAACCCCTAAAAAAAAAATCCTGCCCGAACGGAAATGCTGAAAACGGGGGTGTCACTAATAAGTCTTGAAACCTTGTATTTTCCTTTATTCTTCTCTCCTGCAAGAAGGAGAATGGGGGGGGAGGGGGTGGATTTCCAAGCATCGCCTCCCTGTATTTAACATTTAAAAAAAAATCCACCCGCCTGATTTGGCGAAGGTGGGTGGGCGGAAAGAGGAGGAGGAAGAAAAGCAAACGGCTGGTGGCTGGCTTTTCTCCGCCGTTGCTGTCTGTCCGTCCGCCCCCCCGCCTCTATCATCTCCCTTACACCCCCACCTACCCTTTCCTCTCTCTATTTCTGCAATTTCACACCGGGCGTCCCAGCCACCAGGAAAAGCAGCGGAGCGGAGCGCAAGGGGAGAGTGGCCGCGGTTTGCCCGTGGTGCAATGCAGAACTTCGCTCTCTCCATCCCTCCCTCCCCCAGGAAGACAGACGGACAGGGGGAGACAGACGTCCCCCTTTTTCCTGCAGACCCACACAAGGCTGCCTCGTCCTCGCTTCCTCCTTTTTGCCCCCCCTCCACCCCACCGATTTCCTACAGCTCCTAAAAACAGAACCTCACCCTATTTTTACGCACGGGCTGCGCGCCATGGAAACACCGGGCTGGGGGGGGGAGGGGTGGGGCCAGGATGAATCTACCTGGAGGGGGGTGAGTGGACATAATAGGGGAGGGGGCCGATCCCCCACCCCGCCCCCTCTGGCCCGCCC